ATCATTAAGTCTTTCCTAGCCTAAAAACTGAAATATCAATGTCACATGACTATGCAATCCACCTCTTCCTTCCCAAAGGTCTCGATTAATTTGAAATTAATATAAAGTAGCACAATCAGTCAAAAGTGGCCTACCTCACTAGCAAATGATAAATAATTTTCCATTCAGAATTCCCAAACTTTATAATCTGGCAGTCAGCTTTCTTATTTTGTTTTGAAAGTCTTTCACGACCTTACAAACTGTACTGTTTATTTTGTGAGAGTGTGAATAAAGAGAGCTGTTTCCATTAAAAGCAAAACAAAACTGAAAAGGAAAAAAACACCATTAAAATATTTTATTTCACTTTATAAGCAGTCAGTATATATCAAAATTGCTGCTGATTTCATTTTTGAAGGAAAGAAGCAAATGCCAACATCACTTAATCTGTCCGAGTTCTCATTAGCACAACTCATTCCACCAAATTAAGTGCTGTGGTCTCAGGATACGCTGTGGAAGGTTAAAAGAATCAGCCAAAGCAACAAGCAATTTTCCCTGAGATACTGTTTTAAGTCCAGTGTGAGGTTTTACTTTAATATGTTATTTCCAACTCACTCCCCACAGGGCAAGGTATTCCCTATAATGAAAAGCAGCAAATAATACAAACAATCCCTTCTGTATTTGCACCATAATGTATCAAAGCCCAAGGAGCACAAAAGATAAATCATCCCATCTCCCTAAGAGTATGACGTTTTAGACTATCATCAGATCTGCTGGAAACCTACAGGCCAGAAAGAAAGGCAAACCATAGGGTTTGAAAACTGCTAACTTGTCTCTGGGGCTTGCTAGAAACATTGGGAACGTGTCACTTTGAAGTCATTAGTTCTACACCAACAGGTATTACCATTTTTATGGCTTTCTTTAGGAGAATAAAGTGAATCTCACAGGTCTCAAAACATGTTTAGGAACACTAGTTCCCACTTTCCCACAGAAAAGTAAAAGACTTTCACATTGCCTTTATATTATCTTTACTCCATCCTATACCTCATTAATTATTTAAAGCATGGACTGAATCTGACACTTACATATATACAATAGACATCACCTAAGTAGTCAGAAGATGAAAACAAAATAAAACCCAGAAACTACCACTATGTCCAAAGGGAGATAAAAGTGGCCACTTTATAGCAGAGAACATTCAAATGAGCGAGTTGGAGCTGTATTATTTCACCCAATACTATTTCCCCACAATGTTCTTCTCCAGATCAATTTTACCTGTTTACTTCCCCACCATCTGCAATATCATAGTATTATTTATATACATTTCTCAAACTCAGAATTATTACAGAAAATTATGCCAAGTGGTAGGAGTGATTATACAAAATGGTTTAATAAGGCACAATTCAGTGTGGTTACAGTGGGGACACACACTGAAACGTAAAATTCATTGATATATGAATCATATGGAAGTTTGGTAGCTTCCATTTTAATCCCCTCTTCATTATTTCTAGTTAAAAAATAACTAAACAAAAACTAAACTTATGAGAAGAGCAATCAGTGACTAGAAAGCGACAGATTCTGACTAACCAAAGCCATCAGCACTTTAAGTCATATACATCTTAAATACAGTTACAAAGTTAGACTTGAAGTCTGTGAACTCAGATTTATGAGTAAAGGTACTTAATCTCCTCTATGTTGGTCATTATGCTTATTAGGGTCTCTCTAACTTTCAAACCAAAGAATCCTTTTGTTACTTTTTCCTCTGAGGTCTCAATGTTTTTCAAAAGTCGAACAAACAAATTGCCTTTATTAATTAGCACCTGACTTGTATTACTGTTTTTCTAGTTTCAAGACTGATCCTAACTTTAACTAAAGAGCTAGAATCATCCCAAGTTAATCATCATTACTGTTAGCATCGGGGTGGTACAAAGGTAATCAGCATTAGAGACTCAAGCACTATCACTACTGACGTCATTTTTAAATCACTGTTTGTTAGTTCATACTCATATCACGCGTGAACCCCTGGATACGTTCACTTAGGAGGTGTAGCACCTGGAAAGGCACTCTGTCACAGTGCCTACCCCATATGCACCCCCAGAATTTTCTGTAAAGCCATCAGTGGTCAATCAGAGGGCTTGAATGTCATAAACTGACCACTATTATTCCTCTAAATGGAAATATTCTAGACAAAAGTAAAGAAATTTGTGTTTTAGTTAACTGTGTTTAATGCTACTAAGCTTTCTCGAATAGCTCATAGACACAACCTCTTACTAACTTTGTGGACCATTTCAGCCAAGTGAAAAAAATAAATAACAGGCTGCTCCGCTCTGATTCATAGAAACTCACCAGCTGTTATAGTGAAAGGGCTTTGATGAGAAACCTGAGTCCTGGCCTCCTGGGTAAAGCTGTTATCATTGTGATTAATTTTCTTCATAAAATGAGAACCCTTTCAGATCTCAATTTCTGAGTCTCTAAATTCTCAAAGTTGAGAGAAGTGAGTAAGCAGCAATATTCATTTCAATGACAACAATTTAAGCTATTAAATCTTTTTACTGGATGCCAGACTACTTGAAGATACAGAATAAAATGTACAATAGATTAGTGATTTTGCAACTATCTTGGGACTTCTTTTAGATAATCTAACTGTATAATGCAAGACTTCAAGGAAGTTTTGGCATTTCTTATTAGCTTGTGCATCAAATTCACATGAACATAGTTAAATTCACATTCCATCTTGCCCTAGGAGGAAACCAGACTGCCAAGAGTTGCTTCAACTCCCTTTAGTAAGCAGCACATTTTTTAAAAAAGTGGGGGAAGGTTGAATAAATGCTTAGGCTATGTGGCATCTGTCTTAATAAAAAAATGAAAGTAATTCACAAAAGTTAACCTGTGCTCAATGCTCTCAGCATTTAGAGTACGGAAATTCCTAAGCATTCTAATTATCTTTTTCATAGAATATATGTGATGTTTTGCTTTTTTTTGTAGTTTGAAATTATCTTTGGTAATGCCTAGATAAGGTTATAACAATAGTCTCCTCGGTGGTATTGTGAATGCACCTGCTTGCCAATTCAAATAATTTTGAACAAACATAATATTTAAACAGGTGGAGTCAGAGAAAACTGCACTATTTGAACAGCCAAGGAAGGGTCTGCTTCATTAACAAAATGCAACAAGTATTCACAGTATAAATCAACTTGTAGTAAATTTGCAAAAGCATCTTCAAGGATAAAATTACCAGGAGAAAATAGTGTCTTAATTTCACCAAACATTATTTTTACACTTGAATACATTAAAAATAAGCTTAAATGCAATACGAATAGTAAAACTAGAGATTGGATGATATGAATTCATACCACAACATATACAAAATTTTAGTTGCGAAGAGGCCATGGGTGACTGCCTCAGAACAGACTCAGTTGGAGCAACTGATTAGGAAGTATAGGATTCACCCAGGAGTGGAGTAGCAGGTTCACAAAAACACCACAGGGCATTCAAAACTTACCTGAGTAATGGTGGCTTTCTCTGTGGCAATTTGTCTGAGATTGGGAAATGCTATTATGACCTATTTCTCTTCTCCAAAATGAGAAGTCTCCCTAGGATCTCAAGATCTCTTCCATCTGTAACATTCTGTGATTCAATACCTAAGGTTAGGTTAGCTGAAGAAACTGTTACTAGTCTCCAGCTTAGGGAAATATCCCGCAAGCATTCTCAGAGAATAAATGATTTCAAAATAGTTGCTCAGTTTGTGTGTGTTTTAAAAAGTTGGGTAAGAACACTTAAATTTTTTTCTAAGAGGGCAGATCTTAAGCCTACAACAGTGTTAACTATAGGTGGTTTCATAAGTGTACACTTACCTCCATACTTATACACCTATGAAACCACCAACAGTTAGGATTGACTGGTATGCATAGCTTTTTACATGTCAATCATACCTCAAAAAACAAAGGTTAGCTAAATAAGGGTAGGAGAGTGTAGGCAGACTGAATTTACCCTGAACTACAGTTATAAAGTCAACTCAAAACCTCTGCAAATTTCTAAAAATGCCTCACACACTTAAGTTAATATTTCAGAAAACTAACAAATGTCTGTGCAGCTAGGTACGCCTTAAGCAAACTACAATCTTTCTGGATCTCCAGGTCTTGTCACAAACTGAGGGAACTGTTACCCATTTCTACATATTCAGCATTATATTAAAAAGATTTCCTAGATTACCACTTAGGACAACTGGGTTCTTGTTTTGAAACTAAAGTTGGCCGACCTTTCACCTGAAACAAACTTCTTACCTTTTGTGGGAGAAAAGGCATTTTACCCTCCCCGCTCCAAAAGCATTTGTTATTAAGTGGTCATGCACCAATCCTTTATCTTTCATCAGTAATAGTGTGTTTCATTCATTAGGCCTGCCCAAATACCCACAGCCACTCTACAAAGCTGCATGCCTTCTTCAGTGTTTGGATTTGACGTCCTGGCTGTATGGCAATATAGGAAACGTATGAATTTAACTTTGCTTTTTATTCACTGAGGAAAATTTCTACCCCTCTTAAGGGAAGCTTTTTCTCTAGCCAACAGAAGAAAAGTACTCGGGCTCCACCTGTTTCGCCTAGCTACAGCACTCATTCAGACCCTCGGCAAACCCAGTTCTAGCAATATCACGCCGGGCTAGGTGGGCAGGAATGCACCAGTGCTGCTGGAAATTAAAGTTGATGGGAGCTGCATTCTAATCCGACCAGAGCTGCGCCTGCCGGGTGCAACCCCGGCGCAGCCGGCGCTGTGGGTCTCTGTCTCCCGGATGGTGAGCTGACAGCTCCTGCCAGCCCAGGCTGGGAGGAGGAGAAGAGGTGTCCGCTGCAGCCCCATACCCAGCGGGTGAAAGCACCGTCTTGTCCCCAAAGATTCCTCTGGCCTCAAAGACTAACAAAAATACGGCGTCCTGCGTTTCGCAGAAGGACGAGAGGCGCCCCAGAGCTCTCCCGAGAGAAAACCCCAGGAAGAAGTGGTGGCCGGAGGCGCCGGGTCCCGCAACTCACCTTCTGCTGCCTCCGGGCCATGTCGGTGGGCTGCTTGGCGTTGAAGGGGTACGCGATGCACCTCACGACGAAGACGTAGAGCTGCAGGCGGATTCTCCGCTCCTGCTCATCGTCCAGCTGCCGCTCGGGCTCGTCTCGCCCCTCGCTGAGCACCGAGGGGCTCGGGCTCACGGATCTGGCCGCGCCGCCGCCGCCGCCGCCCGCGCGCCCCGGCGCGTCCCGCCGCCCTTCCCGAGCCGGGGCCGCCGGAGCTCGCTGCGAGCCGCCGGCTGCCACCAGCACATCGCGGCTCTCCTCTTCCAGCCCTTCGTCGGACTCCTCTTCGCTGGAAGACGGGTCTAGCATGGTGCTTGGGGGTCCCCGGCTCTCGGTCCGCGGTCGCCAGGAGCCTCACCACCGCAGCTACGCCCGCGGGTCCGAGGGAGCCGCTGGGTTGGCTGCAGCGGCCGCAGAACGAAAGGAAAACTGGCCAGGGCTTTCCGGACACGTCGAGTTAAATTCAGGAGTGTTTCCTACCGCCAGGGCGAAGGGGGCGGGCGGGAGCCGGGAGGAGGACTGGGAGGGGGAGAGGGGGAGCCGCAGGGATTGAATAGGCGGAGTTAGCGTTGGGGGTGCGCCTGAGCGCCTCAGGAATTGCTCAGCCAGCCCGGGCGAGCCGACCCAGCGGCTCCTCAGAGCACGCCGGCAGAGGCAGCGCGCCCCGAGCGCCCGGACGCAGGTGAGGAACCTGTGGCGCCTACAACAAGCAACACGTGGAGTGGAATGTTGAGGAGCCGCGCGGGGCCGCGGAGTGCGCGTGCGCGCGCCGCCGCCGCCCCCCGGGCCCGAGTGCCCCGGCGCCTGGTGCCCTAGCGCACAGTTTGCGAAGGCGGGGAGCGGCCACCGGGGCTGCTCCAAGTACCCTCACCCCACCATCTAGGATCTTTTCTCCCGCAGGTGGAGGTGGAATGCGGGCCGGGGAGGGACTGTTCACTAGCCAGAGGTGAGGCGGGGCCGCCGAGACGTCTCTCCAACCCTAACCTGCTGCCCAGGGTTGAACCCCAGCGCGGAAAACAGGGACTGGAGCCCTCACCACGAAATAGCTTTGCGACAGGACTTTGAAAAGTCTCTCTCGCTCTGCTCTGTTGCCGTTTGATGCTCATGCTGAAGCCTAAATTATAAAAGTCAGAGTAATGAAAAGGGAAAAAAGAAAAAACGAGGCGTACTTTTTAAACTGTTCTATTCCTGCAGACTCACAGCAAGGGAGATTTTATATGTGCAAACGACACTGATTCAGCTCAAACATATCTCGATGATTTTCTGGGTTGCGATGCAGTTGACTCAAAACAAGTTGTGTAGTGTAGACATTTATTCAGCAGATATTTGAGCGCCCTCCTGGTGTCCAGCACTGTTATCCTTTTCCGGAGCCCGCGGTGGACTAAGGCACGGGACACCAGACGCTGATGGTTTTGGCCTCAAGTGGGCGTTTCGCAGCTGCACACAAGCCTGCCTTATCTGCGCAGATTTCTCAGTCCTAGTGCTGGAACCACCTAGGAGTTTCTTGTGGTAATTCTGTATCTTGTGTCCTTAGTCCTGACAGAGAGGGAAATAGGGAAAACAATGCATTCAACACCAGGTGGAGTATGCAGCACCAGGTGGGCAAGGAGATGATAAAGCTCAGTGGAAGTAACACAGGGCAAATAAACGACCAGCTCGGAGCTCCTCTACCCCAAAGGTCAAACAGCAGTTTTAGCTTTTTCAGGCCACTTTCATAGAGTTAGGTACACAAGACAGACTTTCCTCCTGTATTTACTGACATTCTCTCTAGATAGGGTAAAAGACAAGGAGGCGCTTACTCCAGAGGAGTCTCCTATCTGCCTTTGCCTAATCTTTAACAGGTCCCCTAGTAATAAAAGGTCTTCAGCAAGAGCGTGGCTGTGGCCTTGTCACAAATTGCCAAGAAATAGGAAATCTCAAACACAGAGTATTTAAAAGCAATGTTTTATTTTTGTCAAGGTAAACAAATAGCAATCTTACTCATTTGTCTTAATATCTGATGCTTATCTAGCACTTTGCAAAGATCTGTGAAATTGTTTATCTCATATCCTTATCAAAGTAATAACCTTCCGAGGCAGGTGATATCATTACTGATTGCCCTTTGAACCAGATATTGCACTAAGCTCTTTAGATACATTAGCTCACTATTTTAGGTTCCATTGTTCAAATAAGGAAGCTGAGAATTAGAGAATCCTTTCTTTAGGGTACAGAACTAGCACCTAATGGAATAAGGACTGGAAACAGTTTTCTAGTTTCAAACAGTGTCATTTTCTGCCGTAATTTGCTCTGATAATAAGTCAGTATATTAAATGTCTGAGGTTTACTAAACTAATAAAAATTTCTAGGGACATAAATGTATGATTTGAATATAGCAACTTTACTGCCCTTTTCTTGCCAACCATAGGTACATTTTTCAGTTTCTTTTATTAATTAATACTACTTGATGTGATCACTTATTCTTTTCCCATTAAAGGCGGTTAATAAATCAAAGATCTCCAAGCCTTGAAGATCCCACAGGAAAACCTTTAATAATATTTAGAATAGCATAGCATTTACAGTGTTTTCTCTATGAAGATAAAAATGGCTTAAGAGGCGTAAATTAAAGAAATATCTAAAAGACAACAAAGAGAATGTTTAAGCAGTTCATTAATTAAACATACATAGTTTAAGAAATTAACATATGCTGCTGTCCTCCTGCCGCCCAAGATGCCGAAAGGAAAGAAGGCAAAGGAGAAGAAGGTGGCTCTGGAGCCTGCTGTCAGAAGAAGCAGGAAACCAAGAAAGTGGTGAATCCCCTGTTTGAGAAAAGGCCTAAGAATTTTGGCATTGGACAGGACATCCAGCCCAAAAGAGACCTCACCCGCTTTGTGAAATGGCCCGGCTACATCAGGTTGCAGCAGCAGAGAGCCATCCTCTATAAGCGGCTGAAAGTGCCTCCTGCAATTAACCAATTCACCCAGGCCCTGTACCGCCAAACAGCTACTCAGCTACTTAAGCTGGCCCACAAGTATAGACGAGAAACAAAGCAACAGAAGAAGCAGAGCCTGTTGGCCCGGGCCGAGAAGAAAGCTGCTGGCAAAGGGAACATCCCCACTAAGAGACCACCTGTCCTTCGAGCAGGAGTTAACACCTTCACCACCTTGGTGGAGAACAAGAAAGCTCAGCTGGTGGTGATTGCACAAGACGTGGATCCCATTGAGCTGGTTGTCTTCGTGCCTGCCCTGTGTCGTAAAATGGGAGTCCTTTACTGTATTATCAAGGAGAGGGCAAGGCTAGGACATCTAGTCCACAGGAAGACCTGCACCACTGTCGCCCTCACACAGGTTAACTCGGAAGACAAAGGCGCTTTGGCTAAGCTGGTGGAAGCCGTCAGGACCAATTACAACGACAGATATGATGAGATCTGCCGTCACTAGGGAGACAATGTCCTGGGTCCCAAATCTGTGGCTTGCATTGTCAAGCTCAAAAAGGCAAAGGCTAAAGAGCTTGCCACTAAACTGGGTTAAATGTACACTGTTTAGGTTTCTGTACATAAAAATAAAACAATACAAATTTTCCTTCAAAAAAACAGAAATTGGCTGGGCGCGGTGGCTCACGCCTGTAATCCCAGCCCTTTGGGAGGCCGAGGCGGGTGGATCACGAGGTCAAGATATCGAGACCATCCTGGTCAACAAGGTGAAACCCCGCCTCTACTAAAAATACAAAAAATTAGCCGGGCATGGTGGCGCGTGCCTGTAATCCCAGGTACTCAGGAGGCTGAGGCAGGAGAATTGCCTGAACCCAGGAGGCAGAGGTTGCGGTGAGCCGAGATCGCGCCATTGCACTCCAGCCTGGGTAACTAGAGCGAAACTCCGTCCCCCCATCACAAAAAAAAAAAAAAAAAAGAAATTAACATATGCTAAAGCTATTCTGGATATCTTTAGGAAAAACAAGATATAGGCCTCAAGAAGTTTATCAGTTAAGGAACCACAAATGAAAAAAATCATTTATTTAAAAAAATCAATATTTGAGTTGCAATCTGATGATCGTTCTAATAATCTGGAAGATAATGGCAATACAGAGAAGAAACACTTCATTCAGAAGATAGCAAGTGATATGGTTTGATTCTATGTCCACACCCAAATCTCATCTCTAATTGTAATCCCCATGTGTAGAGGGAGGGATTTGGTGGGGGGTGATTAAATCATGGGGGATGGTTTCCCCCATGCTGTTTTGTGATAGTGAAAGGTTTCTCACAAGATATTTTCGGTTTAAAAGTGGCTGTTTCCCCAGCTCTCTCTCTTTCCTGCTGCCTTGTGAAGAAGGTGCCTGGTTGTCCTTTGCTTTCTGCCATGATTGTAAATTTCCTGAGGCCTCCCCAGACATGCAGAACTGTGAGTCAAGTAAATCTTTGTTGTTTATAAATTACCCCATCTTAGCATTATCTTTATAGCAGTGTGGAAACAGACTCATATGTAAGAGAAGGCTTCCAAGTTGCTTGACATATATCTTGAAGAATAATTTAGAGCTGTTGAGATGAGGGCACTGTAGATAGGAAGATAATTATTTGCAAAGGTGTGAAATTGTTTCCCAATTTGGAGAACTATAAGTAGACTGGCATGCCTGAAGGGAAGATTGTATATAATATGAAAATGTGGAATATAAGACTGGAGAATAAGCATAGGCAAATTCAGGATTGGTCCTATGTGCCAGGCTTTGGAATTTAAACATATCCTGCAGAAAATGGGGAAATACAGAAGGGGTTTTAAGTAAGGTAAGACATACTGTAATCCATAACTCTTAAGAGTCAGGGCAGTGAAACCAGATTGAAACTATAAAGAGGAGATTACTAGGGACATCTGAGAGAGAACCAATGGGGCTTTGAACTTAAGAGTGAGGACAAGCAGAGGAGGAAAGTTGATGAGATGGACAAAGGAATTAATAGAATATGTATGGTGCTGAGGAAGAGGGTCAAGCGTAGAAGACGCTTGTCAGAATATGGTAACTTGATTAATAATTGATGAAATATAGTCTTCTAGAAGACAAGTATGTTTGGAGAAGCATCAGGTCTTTGAGGAGCTTAAAGTACACATATGGATGATAAGGTTCAGAAATTATGTGTTCAAAGTGAGAAGAGGGCCAGTGATGAGTCTCTGGGGGAACTTCCTTGCCTCTCCTCTAATTAAGGGATGGTTTGAAGAAAGGGTACCTGAAAAGAAGACCTGATCATTAATTAATTGTACCCAAATACTTTTAAGGTTTTTTATTTTGTGCTTACACTGATATTTGTGCCAAATTTCTACCTTATGTATTAACTTTTCAAGTCATTATAATGTTGGTTGATGCTCTGAAATAATTGATTAAATGATGCCCAAATAAGGCTTCATTGGGCACGCAGCATAAATGCACACAATACACTTAAACTTATTCAGTGATTCATTTTTACTTTTGTCAAGGTGAGCATAAAAACAAATTGAATTTATACTGCTTTTTAATGAGAGATCTCTAATGCTAAGGAAAGATGGATGCACAGTAATAAAATGGAATATAAAATGTGTTTTGGCAATAATATTTAAGGAAACTGGTGTGTGACCTGAATACCATAGGTGGGCTGTTTTCTGGTTGAGAATTAGTTTGTGCATTTGG